GGCCGCCGGATTTGTTTGATATCTTTTGAAATGCATGGCTGCAAATCGTGGCTGCCTCCCGCTACCTCGTCCGACGCTACTAACCACAGAAACAAACCCATCATTTCATTTCTATTCTATTCTACGTGACGCTGTTGATGCGATTAATAGTTTTTCATGGTAGTAAGTACTACACCGCATCACAACGCCCTTCCTTGACGATGCCGCCTTGCGCAGAGTCCTGACCGTGGTCGACCAATGTTGTGGTTCTAGTATCGGCCCTGGCGGACGAATGTCTTAAACAAATGATAATCCAAACTCAATTAACCAGTGCCAGCTACCGGTAGGCGCTAATGTGACCACCACGGTATCTGTGGTGGTCACATTAGCGCCTACCGGTAGCTAGCTCTTTCTCTACATGTCCCATGGATTTACTTTTGGCGAAAGAAAATTATATGAGTTTTGGCCAATCACTGTACTTTGATATATTGGCGAATGACAGCACATTTTTACAGAATTTCTTGATTGAAAAGGCATCCCTTCGCCATGTTCCTGTTCTCGTTCATGAAGTCATCCACAGAAGTGGCCAAAGGACAACCCACGCCGTCGCCATCGGAGAAGGAAGCGAAGTTTCTGCATGCTCTGGCCAATCGAGCAATCACAGCAGACGAGCGAGGGCAAGTCGACACTGCCATCGACCTGTACGTGGAACTCATTGAGCGAATGCTTGTCCAAGTCAGAGGTCGTCTTCCCATCGTCATCGCTTTCTAACACATTGACTTAGGTGTGCATGACCCAGACGAGCAGCTCGTATTACGGCGAAGAATTGAAGGGTATGTGAAGCGTGCAGAGGAGCTCAAGGTCGCCGCCGCACCTCCAAGCGCCGCACCTCCCGCCGTCAAATCCAAGGTAGATTATGGACAACAACGCAGCACCATCACATAAACGAAAGGCGCAGACACAAAGCAAAGCAAGGACGGCGAACGCTGCGTTGGCGCATGTGGTACTGGACGAGGTGCTGGACGCGTCTCCAAATGTCCAATGGAAGGACATTGCTGGCCTGGACGATGCCAAGCAGATGCTCCAAGTAGGCATCCCATTCACAACCATATTGTATGACTATTCTGCACTAGGAAGCGATCGTATTGCCACTCCTCCGACCCGATCTGTTCACTGGTACACACCTTGGCATCGTTGTTGTATCTATCAAGTTTGCATTTGGCATATAGGTTTGTGCGCCGCTCCCAAAGGTGCGCTACTCTTTGGGCCTCCTGGAACAGGTACATGTACTGGTTATGGCTTTGTTTGCATTTCTTCACACTTTGTACTTTGAATGGCAGGCAAGACCTTGCTGGCCAAAGCCGTGGCCACCGAATCCAAAGCTACGTTCTTCAGGTACGATGTAGAAAGATTGACCAGAGTCTGTTTCGTAACCGTTCGATCTGCTGTTGAATCCTAGCGTGACCGCGTCGACGCTGACATCGAAATGGGTCGGCGAAGGCGAGAAGCTCGTCCGTGCGCTGTTCGACATGGCGCGGGAGCTGCAGCCGTCGGTCATTTTCATCGACGAAATCGACTCGCTGCTATCCACGCGATCGACAGGGGAGCACGACGCCAGTCGTCGCCTCAAGAACGAAGTAAGAAGCATGCTGTTGAATGCTAATCCCGTATACTACTGGTATACACTGACAGAATTGTAGTTTTTCACACAACTCGACGGCATTGGATCGTCGTCGGAGGTACTTGTGCTTGTGAAATGGATGGACGATAGATTGAGTGAGAGAGTGGTTGGTAGGATCGCATATTAGTCTTGGGGGCTACAAATTTGCCCCACGAACTGGACGAAGCGATGGTTCGACGGCTTGAAAAGCGAGTTTACGGTACAGTGTCACCATCCTGTACATATATCCCATACCACGTACTACTGGTAGTGCCGTTGCCCGACATCGCGGCCCGCACATACCTCATTGGACACCTCGTGAGCTCCCATAGCCATTCATTGACCCAGCGAGACATCGCCGCAATTGCATCTGCCACTGACAAGTCCGTCGTCGACATATTGAGCCTTTATGAGCCCTGACTGTATGTGTAGGTATTCCGGGAGTGATATCATGAACCTGTGCAAGGAAGCTGCGATGGGGCCGCTGCGGAGCTTGGGCGATCGGTTAAAGCAAGCACGAGCGCAAGACATTCGGCCGATTTCGAAAGCCGATTTCACCGACGCATTGGCCCGGGTGTCGCCCAGTGTGTCCGCCGACACACTCCGCCGCTTGACCGAGTGGAATGCTCGCTATGGGCTCCAAAAAGCAACTTGATTAATTTTTAATACAACCCCTCCACCCTCTCGTGCTCGCTCGTGTCGTAAACTTGCGCGCGGAGTTTGTCTGGGAAGTGGGAGCGGCGCTGTTTTCGACTGGCGGCAACGTCTAGCTTTTGTTTGGCACGCATGAACCGGCTTGGGGCGTGGGTTGAGATTCGGGGGTCGCTCTGGTTGGATGGATGTGAGCTCGGAAGGACACGCGCCGGGGGGGATGCTGGCACCGGCCTCGCAAACGCTTGGAACGGCTCAACAGTCCCCCCCAACAACTTGACGGCGCTCGTGTGTTGAAAGTGGTGTCGATACTTTGTCATAAGGGTCTGCTGCAAGTACCGCTTGGTTTCCGCTTGCTGTCGTTGTTGGTGGAGAGTCGCATAGTCGGACATGCGGACGTCGCGGCCGACATCCCGGCGCAATCGTTTGCACCGCCGACGGCACTGATGGGTGCGAAGCTGGCGCTGGATTCGGATGGCGGGGGAGTGACGCAAACTGCGCAGCCATCCAACTTGTTTTTTTAGCTCGTAGATAGAGCTGCGCGCGGTGATGCCTCGCCACCGCGCTTGAAGGCGCGTCACAAGCACATATTCTCGATTCAAGATGCGCCTCGTCACTTCGCGGACGTTGGCTTCGACCCGCCACAGAGGTGGCCGTCCCCCCGTGCGACGAACAAACTCCCTGTAGTCCCAGCAAAACACGCCAAACTCTTCGGCACTGTCGTACCAAAACACGGTTTCGACGACGGGGGGTGGCTGCTGGCTGCTTGAGGAGGAGGTGGTGGAGGTCGTCGTGGTTGTGGCGTACGCGTAAACGAGCGGGTGGGCGTTCTACGTTTGTGGTCAGAGATGACGTTAGCCAGTTGCTGGAGATGGGATGCGAGTTCAGTAATACCACAATGATAAATATGCATCTTTCGATGTCGCTCCTTGTGCGCGCTTGGATGCCACGCACTCGTTTTTGGATGCATGCGGCGGCGTTGAAGATCTTTCGAGCATAGCGCTCTCTCTCTAGGCGGCGGCGCTTCGCCTCAAGACGCCCGAGTCGTCCGCGCACGACGCGCTAAGTCCATGAGTTGAGCTTCAGCATGCAAATGGAGACGAGGGGGGGGTGTTGACAGGATGCAGGCATGAACTCGCACCTGCATGTCGATGGCGGCAGGCACGCGCTTCTTTTGAAAGTCCTCCACCGCCTGGGTCTCCAGTGCGATCTCGGCATGGAAACTCGTGGCCCCCGTGCGCAAATGCCGCGTGCGACCACATCCACAACACGGGGGCAGCGACTCGAACACGGACGAGCCCCCCTTGGCCCTGCTCTGGAGGCCGCGGATGCTCGGTACGTCGATGAAGTTTATGCAATTGCACACGCAGCACGTCAAATACGGTGTCGCATACTGAGACACGGAGCACTTGTCCAGGTATTGAACGATTTCATCTTCCCATTGCCTCTGCATAGTTGCAAAGCCACAATGCAGTATAAAGTGAAACGCTTCAAGGTGGCAGTTACACTCTGACTTCAAATATGCCAGACAGGTACGAAAGGGTTACTAGTGTTCATGTGTGGCACATCGCACTGTATCGATTGTGGTGATGTATTTGCACGCTATGTCAAATCGGCATGGAGTTACGATAAACTAGACGTATTGAATCGACAACTACATAGTAATGTACTATGAAAACGCTACTTTCGACGCGGGGGGCTGCCTTCTTCCTCTTCAATGTCTTCTTGCATGTCTTCGTCTTCATCACCTCCCTTGGCTTCCTGACTCTGTTTGGCCACCGATGATCGCGTGTCGCTTCGTTCTGGCGTCGAGTCCGTGGCGCTACCACTTCCACCGGCCTTTGCTTGGATTTCATTCAGCATTTTCTGGTTGATGAATGCCTTGACCGAGATGTTGCGCTGGCGCATAGCATTGATGAGCTCCACGGCATGCTGGACGTCGTCGCTTTCGTACGCATGCGTGACAAGCAGCGCAAAGGCGTCACCACTGCGAATCGCCGAGTCCACGTCGGCGTCCTCGAGGAGCTGTTGCAACAACGCCACCATTTCGTTCGGATCGGTCTTGGCCAGGGATTTCGCCGTCATGAACTTGTCCACAACGGCAATGCGTTGCTCGAACGACGCGACTTTCTTGTCTTTGCCTGGCCCGGTGGACTTGGCGGCCACTTTCATCGCGTCTTCCAGCGACCGCTTGGCCTTGGCGTAGTCTTTGTAGTCGTCGATTTCGACTTGGGCACACGCGTCGTAGAACCCCGCCAGTTGGTCAAACGCTTTGGCCTTGGAGTAAAACCCCACGACGTTCTTTGAGATATCGGGGTCGTTCCGCCAGTCCAAGTTTTGAAGGTAGTTGGCGGCCAGGATGAATATCTCGTTGTTGCGCGACACGTTGGCAAAGAAAATCACCTTTTCTGTGTCCCCAGACTTGAGCAGGCACTTCATGGCTTTCAATTTCGCCCCCGCTTGGGTGTACTTTTTGGTCGCCAAGTGGAACGCGCCTTGGTGCTTGCAGCATTTTGCCAACTTCATCATGAGGTCCACGCGGCGTTTCGCCGCGATTTTGTCGGTTTCGTCTGACGGTTTCGCAGGCGTCAGCAGGTCCGCCATCTCTTCCGTGATTTTCACCTTGTGCTGGATGCAAATCTCGAGGGCGTCTGCGATGCGGTTGCCGCGGATGAGCAGCGGCACAGCTTTGGCGTGTTGGCCATTCTTGGCGAAGAAGTCGGCGCATTTGCCCAGCACGATGGGCGACGTGTTGGTGGACGAGCCCAGTTCATCGGCGATCGTGTGCAGTTCGTCAAATAGGTTGGCTTGGAAGCAAATCTCGAGAGCCTTGGACACGTGGCCGCCCTTGTGGTACAGCACCACGGCCTTTTCAAACTCGCGCTTGGTTTCAAAGTACTGCGCGCACTCGAGCATCGGTCCTGGCTTGCTTAGCAGCGCATAGTTCATCAGGTCCCCGTCCAGGTTGAATTCACGCGATAGGCGAATCGCGTGGTTGTACGAGCCGCTGGTCGCGTAGAATTGGATGGCACCGGCGATGTTGTCGTTGGCTTCGTACTGCCGAGCGAGGTGGTAGGCAGCGGCCTTGTTGTTTTTCGAAATCACGACTTGCGCCGCCTGGTCAAAGTCCTTTTTGTGGCAGAGTACTCGCACGAGGGACAAGTAGTCCTTGGCGCGACGGTACGACGCAATCGCCGAGTCGAATTCTTGGTTGCTTTCCTGGTACTGCGCCCACCACAGCAGCAGGCGCGGGTCTTCTGACTTGGACGCGTAGCTGTTGAGCATCTCCAGCTTGCCGCGACTGAAAAGCATGCGCGGGACGTCCTTGGCCGCCGTGCCCGCCAGCTCGTACTGTCGAATGGCCTCTTTTAAGTTACCTTCTTCTTCCAAGTGCTTGGCGTAGGCGAAATGCGTCGTCTTGAGGTGAATGCGGTCGCGTTTGGTAGCGACTTCGATGGCTTTGGACCAGTACCCGGCCGACTGGTACAGTTTGTTGAGCAGGTCGAAGCGGCCACACTCTTTGTACAGCCGGGCAGCGTCGTCCAACAAGCCCAACTGGATCGCGACCATCGCAATCGGGGCTTCGATCTCGGGGTTTTCCAACTTGGCGCCGTGAACGGCCGCCGCCCCCCGCGCGTGCCCCATGTTGCCCAGACACACCTCCGCGACGTCCAGCCGCTTGGTTTTCACACATGTGTTGGCCATGTTTTCCCACACGGACGCATTTTGGATCAACTTGACAGACCGGTACGCTTCGTCCATGTTGCCAATCGTTATGTAATACGAAAAGTCGATCAACGCTTGTCTCGTGGGCCCGTCCACTTTGTCCAACCCGACGAAATCCTGCATGATCTTGGTGCGCAGGAGTGCCACGGGGCCGCTGTCGTCCTTGGTCTCGCGTTTGATGCTTTCTTGCGACGACGCAAAGTACATGCGCGGCACGTGAATCCCCAGAAGCGCGCTGTACTTGGCATCCAGGTCAAAGTTATCTTGCATGAGCAGTCCCCGCTCGTTGGACACGAATAAAATCGTGATTTCTCGCTCCGAATGCGAGCTCAGACGCGTGGGGTCGGCCTGTTGGGACGGGCTATTGTCTGCCCCTTTGTCGTCGGATTTGTCGTCTGCTGTTGGAATGTGTTTGGCGTCTTCCAACTTGTCCTAGGACCCCAAAAGACAGTAGTGATGATGCATGCCGCCACGAACGTATACAAGAGAGTTGTTTATGGTTTACTTGGAAGGTTTCACACGCCATGAGCCGGGCTTCTTGGGGATCCCAAAAGTGCGACGTCGGGTGTCGAGCGGGGCCGAATTCGAACGACTGGAACGCGTTCAGGTCCGTGTTGAACAGGTACAGCTTGGTGTGGGGCGTGCGCACTTTGAGCGCGCCTTCGACCGTGTAGAGCAAGAAGCTCACGCGCGTGCCATCGCAGTTGACACTGAGCGATCGCAGCGTGGACTTTGCGTTCATACCCGCAAACGCTTTCTACATCCATCCTCACACCTCACACAATGATGGCATGTGTACCACCTACCGAGACGTCGCCCAAACTGCCAAACGCCTTGGGTTCGCGCCTCGACAAGTCGAACACGCGAATGAGGCCGGCGTCCGTGCCCACGGCGAGGTACTTGTTGTTGATGTGCATCACAAACGGCTGGCCTTCGGCTTCCGTGAACGAGATGGTATTTTTGACCGTGCCGCTGGTGTTGGTCACTTCAATGTGGTTACCGTGGGTGCGGTAAATGACGTCGCCGCGCAGCTGCATGGCGGTGGACGTGCACTTGAACGAGCTCACGCGCTTGGTTTCGAGGTCGGTCTGGAGCTCGTACACTTCAGCCTTGGTTCCGTTCCACACGAGAATCAAATTGCCGTCGTGGGCCACCCCCTTGATCCGGATGGACGCGTCGACGGACGTCTGAACCACCGTGCCGTCCGCAAGCTTCTCCACCGACAGACACATGGGGCGCGTCTGAATCACCGCCGTGTCTTCGTGCAGCGATCGGTTCATCACGGCTTCGTGGAATACGGTCACGCCCGCGCCCTGGGCGTGCGCGTACAAGTACGAGTAGAGTGGATTCCACCCGAGTTTGGACACGCTCTGGTGCATGTCGGCGACCGCCATGAGCGACCACTGGTTGGACTTGGACTGTTGGCCCTGCGTGAGCCGCCAGAACACGAGTTTGCCTTCGTTTGTGCCCACGGCGAGGATGCGCTTGCGAGGGTTGAAGTCGACGGCCGACACGCGGTCGCTGGGGGGGATGCCCCCGTTGGCCAGGCTCAGCACGTAGTTTTCTTCCTTTTGCAGGTCCCAGAACCGAATGAGCTGCTCCCCCGACGCCGTGGCCAGCAACCCTAACAAATAGAGTCAGTTGGACGAAAAGGTCATGAGTGCTAGGATAGACCTGGTCCAGCCCAAATCGCTTCTTTTAGTCCGCCGTCCCCCGACACACTCAGTTTGACCTTCATGATGGGCTTCACCGTGCCATCGGATGCGATCTGCAACTGCACGAGCTGGGACGCCCGAGTGATCACCACCAACCTGTTATATGTAGTATGAGTTGAATCCTCCAAATACTACCCAGTAATCCCTCGTACCGGTGCTTTTCTTCGTAAAACATCATGCAGTCGATGGCGTGGTTGAGCGTTTGAACGTCCGAGATGTGTCCCAAGTCGTCGGCATAATGCACGGTGCCCAGATCCCCTCCAAAGAAGAAGGAAGGGCACGCAGTGATGGCAAATTGACTTTCACTAAACATGTGAAACAATGAGCGTGGAACAGTGTCACAGACATAAGATACCTCTTGATCTCCTTGTCTCGCCGTTGCGGCACAATGCAAAACACACACTGCGTCAAGCTCCCCTGGCGGGTGTACTGCGTGCACAGACCCACTTGCCCTCTCGCGTCAATCTTCCACACGGCCAACACGCCGTTTTCGTCGCCCGTGATCAACCGATTTCCAGTTGGAGCCCACTTGAGCAAGTTGATCCGGCTCGTGTGGGGCGAATTCACCTCCCTCGCCACGTTTTCTTTCTGGATCCACAGGGACAGCATTCCTACAAATCGCGTAAGAGATACATGCGCGTTCGTTTGGCAGGGTCACACCGTCGCTCCACGTCACGGCGAGAACTGCTCCCCGGGGCTGCCACGCAATTGCAGTCACGTCTGCCTTTCTCGTGTGGATTGGAGTTTGAAGTCGTTCTCCCTACAGAAGTTTATATTATGAACCATCATAACCATCCCAACCGCCTTGTACTTCGTCGCTAAAAAAGTGAACTTCGTGGTTGTCGAAAGCGACGGCAAGGACGGACTCTACTTCGCTCCATGACGAGTGAAGCTGTCGCGCGTTCGTCGGGATCTCCACAGTGTAGTCGTAATACAGCGCCATGGCCACTCGCTCGATCGATCGATCCAAAACAAGTGACCTTTCGTAGTTTCGGATATGATCGCATCCGGATAGCCCGGATAAAACTTGCCTCAATTGTCAAGATGATGGAAGTCCCGAAGGAGGACGACGAGCCGCATGGTCGAAGAAGCATTGACGTTGCGAACCATCGGTTCCCGTTCTGCATCGTGTGGTCTCCCTTGCCCGTGATCACGTGGCTCATCCCATTCATCGGACACATGGGAATTGCCGACTCCAACGGAGTCATCTACGACTTTGCGGGACCATACTCCATCGGCGAAGACAATTTCGCCTTTGGTCAGCCCACGCGGTACCTCCAACTGAGTCTCCCGGCTTCAATCAGCGAAGATGCTTGGGACGAAGGGGTGCGAAAGGGATGCGACGTGTACAAGAAGCGCATGCACAACCTCTGCTGCGACAACTGCCACTCGCATGTCGCGCGATGCTTGAACTCGATGGCGTACCCGTGTGTGTGGGGCCAGTACTGGAACATGATCGTGCTGTGTTTCTACTGCTTGTTTTTCGGCAAGTTTGTCAACCTCCAGGGATTCCTGCTGACGTGGGGACCGTTCGTCGTCATTATGGCCATCGTGTTGCTAAGTGTCCTTGTCCATTAAGGCAGTCGTAATTCATCATGTTCATGCTTATCTCTGCGGAATCAATCCACGAGCTTTAGCTAGCTTTTCCGCGAGAATGTCTCGCTGGGTCTTGAGTCCTGCGATGGGCGTGATGCGGCCGCAAAACTCGAGCAGCGCTTGGGCAGTTTTGTCGGGGCAGTCTTCTTGGATCACATGGCCGCTTCCGTACAGCAGCAGCAGCTGAAACTTGCCTAGATATCGATTAATAAATAGCATGGAGGGAGAGATGGCAAAGGTAGATGACCTTGCATTTGGCCTCGAGTGAGCTCCGTGTCTAGGCGATCGGTGCCTTGCATACAAAAGACACAAACACCATATTGTGAATTCGCTATCAACTTGCTGGTTTGTCGAATCAATATTGAATCACGCCGGAGTTCTGATTGGTTGAATATACTTGTTCCTTTCTGCAAGGGCCAATCAAATCCACTCAAAAATAGATTAGCCAATAGCATCGATATTCGAGATTCGATTCGACGGGGTCTGGAAATAATTCGTACAGAATCCACAATATTTGATCCACAAGAACACAAAAGACCAAGTGTAGACGACACCTAGTGGTGGTGACGTACCTGCCAAGAGGAGCACTTTGGGAATCGACACGTTGAGAAACAAACTGCTGATGCCCGTGAACCATCCTAACCAACGCTTGACGAATACTGACGACATAATGGCACCGACCTGTCCAATACTGTGCGCTCGCATGCAAGTCCGTCCGCCACGTATAGCCGCCGCCGGAGGTTAAGCATAGCTGCGACGGAATCGACACGCGGGCAGACTCGGGGTTGCGCACGGCGCCAGTTTGCAGACTAGGACACATGTGTGACTACTAGATACTTGGTTTTATTCGAAAAAGGGCAGACCTCCACTTGATGGCGTCGTCGGGACTGTCAAACTGGCTCGGACGACTGTTCAAGATCCCCTGCATGTGGCTCAGCGCCGCCAACGCCGTGCCTTCCACAACATCGATGACCACCATGCCCCCCAACGACGGCAATTCGTTTTTGGCTGCCACTCGTATAGCAATGGCCCCACCCATGCTGTGACCAACCAAGACCATTGGAGACGATGAGTCGTCAGGGAGGCAGCGCTGCAAGAGGTTGATCGTGTCCGACACCAGCGTTGCCGCCGACAGGTCCGTGTCGTTCACACAGCGAGTCGATCCTAAGAAGAAACGTCGATCACGGACGTGAAGGCATGATATGGATTGGCCTACCGTGGCCACGGAAGTCGAAAGCCAACACTCGGCAATGCTGCTTCAAAATGGACTACATGGCGGACAGTGTGAACATCATACGTCCATACCGAGTACTCATAACGCCTTACAGCTGTCAAGCACCATGTCAAGGCAGTGTGACCACCTCCATGCAAGAGCAGTATCCATGGCCCTTGCGAGCCTGCATAGTACACACGGAACACCTACGACATCTCGGTTGAGTCCAACAAGGATATTCGTGTAGTTGGTGATGACGTACATCGCCATCGATGTCCACGTCGTCGCTTGAATCAAAGTACGGAGCCCAAAGACTACCCATCCATGTTCTATCAGACCACAAGTCGTTCGTTCTCCAAGTCAACCAACCTCATGTTGCCGATCCGAGGTGAGTGCACAAAGGTTCGCCACTTGAACTACTATAGTAGTACTAATAGTAGCTCTGTAGTAATACTGACCAAGGCAACACTATCCCAAGTTTCGCCGAACGATGAAGGACACGTCGTCGGCGGGCAACGTCGTGGTGGACCTCGCGACTGCCAGGGAGAACTACCTGGCTGAACAAGAGAAGGACAGCCCCAATGTCTCGGTCAAGTTCCGATACGCACAAGCACTCACGCGTGACGAGAAAGCGGAGAACAAAACGCGAGGAATTGGACTCCTCCTCGGTACGTTCGAAGCATGAAACGTGATATGTGTGTGCTGAGGGTCTGCTGGTAGACATTCTCGATGAACACAGCATCAACAAGGTCGAATGTCTCTTCACTCTGTCGACGACGTACTTTGAGCTTGGCGACCACGCCAAGTGCCGACAGTACTGCGAACGGTTGCTGCGAATCGACCCCACGAATGAGAAAGCGTTGAACCTGCACAGATGTGTCAAGGATACATTGACCAAGGACAGCGCCATCGGCATTGGCTTAGCGGCTGGCGCGGTGGTCGCGCTCGGGATTGTGCTCAAGTTTTTACTGAAAAACAAGAATTGAATGGCCGTCGCGTACTTCCGTAGCCATGGTGTGAAAGATCGATCGATTTAGGGTATATTTCTACATGTGTGGCGCTAGCTAGCTACACGAGTCAACATGTCGACAAGGGTCCTAGCCCGTGGTCTTTCGCTTCGACGAGGTCACAATGGCAGACACCATCCTGCACACGGAGTCAATTCTTCATTTACATCATGACGTGGAGATTCGTACCAAAACATGGCGTAGATGATCTGCAGACCGTAAAACAGGATCTTCGCGATGGCTTCATGTCGGGTCGCTTTCAAGTTCTTAAAGCGAAGGATGTCGGTGGGATCCAAGTGATTTTCGTTGCGCAGGTACCTGCAACAAGTCCATGAGCAATCCACAATGCAAAATTGAATCATGACCGCACTTTCGTCCGTGCCACAACGCAAGCGGCAGGTTCAGCACCAGCATGCCCGGCGCGAACCCAACCAACGACGCCAAAATGAGCACGCCGTGCGCAATCACTTCAGGGGCTACAATGTGGACGTGTCAGGATCTACCATGCGGACTGCATCCGCTTCTCCGTACCAACTAATCTGTTCAAGCGCTTGCACACATCCGCAGGATTCAGATGATCCAGTTCCAACTCGTCCAGCGTGATCAGCTACGTCCAGCCATGTCATCACCATCGACATGGATGTGGCGGAGCTTACCCAGTACCCATTCGTGAAGGTCAGCGCGAGAATGAGGAGGAATGCGAGGACGGCGCACAACACTTCGAGCATGATGGACTAACTCGCTGGGCTCACTCTTCTCGTGGGGAGGGAACGTGACGTTGTGAGTGTCAACGATGGGCGGGTAAGGCCATTTGCGGATTAATAAAATGGTCATGCCAAAACGTGATTTTCGGATATGATGTGAGGAAATAAGTCGTTTTTAATATATTTTATGGACTGGGCGGGTAAACTCGGGTGGGCAATGGAATATCTTGGATTTTGTAACGACCTCAGCTTGTGGCCGTTCGCACAGGTATTCCACGGCCAAGCAAACTCCGCAACGACCAACGCGATCTGATCGGGCGTGGAAGGACACGGACGAAGCTGGCAGATTTTGATGGAGGAGAACAACGACGCGCCGTCAAAGACGATCATCGACCACTCTCATCGAGACGTGTCTCCCCCAAGTGGCGGCATCCAAACTCGTGCGACGGATGACGTGGTGCAGCACACGTCCAGTGGGCTTGGTCGCCACCACCGACAAACGGTGCAAGACAATGGCTCCGAGACTGAATCGGACACAGACAACAAGTCGTATCCTGATCAGTCCAGCGCCGGGGGGTCTCGTGACAGCGGCGACAGAAGGCAGCTGCATCTGCATATCAACCCCAGCGGACATGGGGACCAGCCGCATTACCGAGAGCCTGTGTCGACCAGTGACACGTCTTTGGATGTCAACAATCGAGGAGGGTCTGGCGGTGGATCAGTCTTAAGCAATCTGCTCGTTCGACCTGGACTCGACAACCCCAACAACCAGTCCGACCAACAACCAAGTCTGCCACAGCTTGGTCAGGCTCATCAAAGCTCCGGCGACGTCCGCCTTCCCGCCATTTCGCTGCATACGCCCTCCGCTCTCGGCTCGTACAACAACAGTCACGGCGGGCCACCTCCACTTGTCGACACCACACGACCGAGCCAACTGAGCGACCTGCATCGAGTGGCGTCCAATGCAGTAAGCGTCAATGGCTCCCCCGGCGTGCCCAGCCGCCATCGCCCGGACATTACGACTAATCGAAGCAACTGGATCGTGCCTCCGTCTAGACCGACCAACATTGACGGAATCGACCGGTCTCCACGGTCGGCGTATACGACCCAAAGCGCAGTCCACGCCGGGCGCGACGATTTCGACTACCCAACGTACCAGCCACCAGAGTCTCTGGTGGGCCAACGCATTGCCAAGACCTTTGCCGGCCACGGTCGCTTTGTTGGACAGGTCCGTTAGCACATCTATCCTTGGTGTAAGCTGACGATAGGTTTGTATCATCAGGTGGTCAAGTACAATTCGCAGACGGAACTGTTTACGGTGGTGTACGCTGACGGGGACACGGAGGAATTGACGCGTGAAAATACCATGAATCTGTTGATTGAGGACAAGCGGATACATCAGTCCAAACCCAGGGAACCGGCGATGCGGAAACCAGCGGAGCAGCAGCAACACCCCAAGCGAAGTCTCATATCCCCACCGTTGTTGACGGAGCGCGGTACATTTAGTTCTGTTTGTATGCAATTATTCACCATTTGTATGACGTAGACAACGAAACGTTGAATGGACTGTTCGAACGGCATGCGTGGCCGGCGTTGGCTGAAAACGGATGGAGGTCCGAAATCCAAGGAGGCTCGACGCTGTACGTGTACCCGCCCTGGTCTGGCAAGAACACGGGCGAGCCAGAGTACTTTACGTCTGTGGCGGACACAATTCTGTACCTGGCCAGCCAAGGCGAGTTGCTGCGACAGTGTTTTCCCGTCGAAGTGCATGCGACTTTGTTTGCGATTCTCGATGGCATCCGAGGGGGAGCATCGTCGAAACGAGGGCCCCCAGCAGAACCTCTGGTCGGTCAGGTGAAACGCATCAAGGCAGAGTCCCCAGGTCCACCCCATGCTGCCTCCAGTCGGACGTCGGCTCCTCGACCCCCGTACTTTGAGCATCCCCAGCAGCAGCAGCAAGGGTACATCGAGTCGTATCCTGCCGATAACCTGCGACGGCCGCTTGCAGAGCAACCCTCCAACCCCCCTCCACCCACTCGCTACAGCCACGAAGACACCCGTCAAAGCCGAAGCGGGTATGCTCCTCAAGCAGCAGCAATCCAACCGCCCCCGCCTTCGTCGGCTGACCACACCCATCGGTTTCCTCCGCCCAGTAGTCGGCACATGCGAGACGATGGGTTCCAACACAGACATGCAAGCCACCCTCGAGGCGAGTATGAAGCTCAACAACGCCATCATCGGCATGTCGGGGGGTACCCCCCCAATCCCCCGTCGCTGTCCAACCACTCGCCCCACCACGATTTGAACGCGCCGCGGTCGATTCCGCACCATCACTTCAATCATCCGGACAACCGCGTAGTCCCGAGCCAAGCCCCGTCGCCGGCCTTGAACCACCACCTGTCGTCGTTCAGCAGGGCAGACATCGCGGCGCCTCCTCCTACTGCCAGATTCAGTCAACCCCCTCCTCCTTCACGACCCCCCATTGGCCAACCACCGGCGCCACGGGGCAACATGATTTCAATGTCGGACCTGGACAAAAGCACGCCGCTGACAGCGTCGTCCTCTCAAAGCAACCCACGACCTATGGGAGATCCACAGCCCCGACTGCGCATGTTCGCAAACGACCAGCCGCAACCTTCGTATCCGAGACTCCATGGAAACGAATGGGATGACCAACGCTACAACGGTGAACAACGGTCATACCGGCATCCGCCGCCGGACAGAATGTATGCCACAGATCGCTTCGGGTCGCAAAACCCACCGCCGCCACGCGACGGAGGGTACTTCGAAGAAGTCAACCAACAGCAGCAGCAGCAGCAGGGATTCCCACGGAGGAGTGACTCGTTCCCTCGCGTTGGTGAACCATCCAGTACAAACCCAAATGCCGACCATACTCAAGATTATCAATACAGCCGTCGGCTGCAATAGTGTACTTTTGACGCCTACATAACGTAATCATTACTGCATATATGCGCTGGGTTCAACCTGTACTACTTCAAGTACGTAGTAGCAGTTATAAATATTGTCTAATCGATTCGAAACTGGACGCCACACAGCACAATCGAATGTCTTTAGAGAATGGATTAACAGAATTTAAGAGAATGGATTAAAGAACCACCTAAGCCAATCAAATCACGTCTTGTCGAATTTCGGCCAATCCAAATCCAAACGTTTGATTTGGCCCAGTCCCTCCGCATTGGGCAAAACCACATACATACTATTAATAGTTGTATAATATGATTTGTACAAGCTTAAATGAGATCAAATGGATTCGAATGCTAATTAGTGAAATGAATCGCAATTCCAAATTTGGATGACATGCACAATATAGTATTACTTGAAGTGATAACGTTACCATACGAACGTCGATGGCCAGTTTAAAGTGCATTCAAATTGGCCAATGGAATTGCTTGAATTCATGAATAACCAATCGAATCGCTAGAAGTACGAAATCACCAAAACATAAGCAAAAACTGCGTACATAATTTTACAGACTGTTAAGCTTAATCCGTGCACCATAAACCGTCCCTCCTCCTATTTTGCCTTGATTTGAGTGGAATCGAAGTAAATGAACGCTAAGATGAAGCGATTCAAGCCGATTAAATAATCAGAAGAATGCCCAACCTTCGGCTTCACGCACAGGGCTGGGGGGAAAATAATTGTAACTAATTTAATTTAAATTAATCATAATTGTCCCACTGCAATAAAGTATTTTCTGTCGGGATTTCAATCTGAAAAGTGCTGCGTGAACAGGGCTGGGGAAAATTATATTTAATTTATTTTAGCTTGTCAATATATAACTTCAATATATTGTCGTTCGGAAGAACAATTCATAATAATTTTATTGAAATTCGAACAACCGAAAAATTCAATACTAGTATTGCTGACTCAGAACAATTATTGCCCATATTTTCGATAATTCTGACCTAGAGTAAACGATGGTCAAAGTAATCAAAGTAACAAGCCAAGGCCTTGGGGCGTAGCATATCGGTTTCACAATCAGGCGGTGGTGGATGGGCCCCGGGTTCGATTCCAGGGGTACACCAAGTTTTTCCTCAAAATCTATACCACTCTCTTCAACAAAAAATATATACTACTGAAATTGTACATTGTTTTCAAATCTTGTTCTTTATTGCATCTGATTAGTGGAATAGAATAGCAGATGACTCCGTTATCATGGGTTAGTCAAATCCAATTCGTCGTGGTGCTTATCGCTTGACAAAGTCGTCACTTCAAATTCAAGGAGTGAAATCCTTCTGGTGAGCTATCAGTATCGTAACGTGGCGACTCGAAGCCTACCTTCAGATATGCTACTCTGTACCCCATGCAAGTGCACCGACGTTGTACACAAGTTAGTCATCTTTTCGGAGAATCTTGAAGCCACCTGGACGTCGAGAGCCGCACCAAGCCCTCACACCTCCACAAGGAGTCTGTCAGAAGGGAACTCTGGCAATAGGATGCAATGATATAGAGCTACAGGTCATATATTGAAGGCATGCCCTCATCTCTCGCATGGGCTTACGTACAGCACTCGCTTGGCCAACACTTTCGTCGATTTTGGGGTATTTACCAATATAAATGGATACTAGTAATATTTTCAAATATCAGAGGAAGCATTTGATGCACAGTATACTGAAATCAAGCTTAAAAACAATAGAACGTGAAAGATGTTCTATTATTATACCAGAGTAGAATTTTTGAAGATGAAACTCATTGAACTCGCCATTGTCACCCCCCACAACCTCTTCGTCCGGACTTGTGTCGTCGACACAGTGGCGAAGACGTCTTGGTGCGCAGAGTTCAAGTGGCAAGGTTTTGGTGGCCAGTAGACTTCCTGATGGTGATGATGGTGAATGGCGCGCACCGGAGACACTTGAACCGAGGTACGATGCGGTGCTTGCCAGTTTTGGGGCCGCAGGAAGACGATTCGTCGTCGATCTTTTCGAAGAAGAGTTTGGGGAGTTCCTTTGGGGAGTTCCTTTGGGGAGTACGAGGTCGTCATAGTAGTTGGGATAAGGGTATTTTGAATATTAGTAATGAGAAGTGAGGAGGTTGAATACAATTAAACAATTATTGGTCAATATGGTCCACCAATTTATTATTGGTGCTGGTGATCGAACTGGCGAAAATAAATTATTATTTTCAGCATGGCGGTCCTGACAGACGAATAACGTTAAGGTGCATTTTACGTCGAGGTCTCTTTCAAGTGCGCCATAAATTGGTCATTTACGTTAGTACAGTGTAATTTACTACTTCTAGCGTTATATTTGTACTTTTCACTCGTTTTGGCTATTCACACCATAAAGTGGGTGTTTATTACTCAAGCCCAGTGTTTTACTGTTAGATAATCCGTGCCGTGATATAGGATGTCACGGATTGTTACTTAAGAGCATCTCCACTGCGGTTTTGGGAGGTCCGGTTATGATTCGGGCAAAACACACTGGTTACACTACATACTGTAGCCACCAACGATGAAGTTGTATGAATGTTTTCGAAGATTGTAAACTGTAAATCATCACATAATCATTAAGAAGGATACGAATTACACATATCAATTCCGGTCGAAGTCCCAGATTGGTGTCTACATAGGGTACACAACTTACGCCTCCAAAGGCTGTCGTCCGCCCGAAAAAGCACGTGTGTTTTCGCTCCCGTCGTTATCCGGACGGGAACCTCTTGCGGAGGCCGAATTAAATTGCAAACTGAGGTCTCTTACTACGAATTACTTTTTCTGGTCTATTTTAAGTCTAATCATTTCGTCCAATGAAAATGCGCCAACAATGCACATCTTTCAACCGCACGACAATGGCTACAATCGCACGACGAATGGCGGCCTACTGTACATAATGGAGACTAACGGCCTTACCGATCATGAGACCATGAGCCGAC